AAGCTGCCCAGTGCGAAGATAATTCAGGATATACCGGAAGTGAGTTCCATCACGATCAATGAAGTATGATCCATCCTCGCTTGCTTTTGTGTCAAATCGTCCCGAAAACATGGCGTGTAACATTGAACCTGGAATAAATATAATTACAGAAACAGGTATTAATACCAGACAGCAATCAAACCAAATACTGGTTGTATTAAGGACGTTCGCGCTAATTGTTTCTGAGCATCCTTACAGCGCACGCAAATTCACACGTCACGTCATGCATGAGCGCGCGCTCACTTATAATTATTTATTTATTTATTTTTTGTTTTTTCCGAGTAGCTGTTGTTGCTGTTGTTTGTGAAGTTATAACAATTGTAATTTGTAATTATTTTTTTCTCTCAGTTCGAAAATCAACAAAAACTATTTAAAAAAATGAGTGCGCGCGCTAAGTAATAAAAGGAACAATGATAGGGCAGATGGCCATTGCTATAGCTTTGCCTGGATTTAACGAACTTGGACGTTTGGTGACCCCTATTTTTCTTTTGATGGATCATTTTCTCTACCGATTTTCTACAGTTTTAATAGCGAAAAAAAGAAGAAAATCTATCGACTAGAAGTTTGAATTTTTTGCAAAATGCACTATCGAAGTTCGCTGTTTTTAGCTCCACGTCTTTCTGTGCAACGGTTTCAAATGCCTCGTGTTAAGTTTTGTGAAAAAGTTGGTAACATTTGGAATCATTTACGCGACAGACCCATTTCTACAAAATATGACTAAGGTCGTTTGCCTCCCTTGACTCATCTTCGATATTTTCAAATATAAACTCCAGCAGACCATCCCGAATTACGTGCGCCAATTTTTCAAAATCAGAGTGGTTTTCCAAGTCGGTGACCCCCAATTTTTAGTGCAGAGTGCACTATTGGGATGGTTATGGGAGCTGCCTGCCGCTAAGGAACTAAGGCCCTATGGCCCTATGGCGCTAAGGTGTAAACTTTAATGTTTGTTTCATTAATTAATTTCAATTAATTAATTA